CCCCCCCGAAGACTTATCTTTGGGGGGATTTCGGGGGGGGGTGTGTATTTTTTGTTCTAGGGGGAGGGGGTGACATCGGAGGCCACCGTCGGGCTACCAGAGAGAGAACCTTAACACTCCCCCTACGTTTTTTTCAAGCGCCTGGGCGCCCGGTGTAGGCCCTTTGCCCGCCGCCGTTTTGGAGAGTGCCGCACAGCTGGAGCGGCTGCAGCTGGACCAGTCTCGCGTGTCGGGCACCCCCCCCCCCCTCAAACGATTAGCCTCAGAATGTTAATAACCTTGTTCTCAACACACACCTTATGGTTAGGCACCCTCCCCCCCTCCCTCTTCGAGACGGCCTCCTCCTCCTTCCGCAAGCTCGAGGCCGACGCGACGCTCCTCTCGGGCAGCCTGCCCGACTCCCTCTGCGCGCCGCCGACGCTCGAGAGCCTAGAAGCGATATCTCCCCACATCTCCCCAGATCGAGAGCCTAGAAGCGATATCTCCCCACATCTCCCCAGATCGAGAGCCTAGAAGCGATATCTCCCCACATCTCCCCAGATCGAGAGCCTAAGAAGCGGAATGCGCCCCCCAACCAGCGGTCGAGAGGACGCGCACACCCCGCCGGTATTCCGACGTATTCCGCCGCATGCACTTGCACATGCACATGACATGACATGAACATGCGCATGTACATGTTGTAGCATGTCCATGTAGCATGTCCATGTCCATGTCCATGTCCATGTGCATGTGGCATGTCCATGTCCATGTCCATGTCCATGTCCATGTCCATGTCCATGTCCATGTCCATGTGCCATGTGCATGTGCATGTGGCATGTGTGCGTGTGCATGTGCATGTGTGCATGTGTGTGTGTGCATGTGCATGTGCTCGTAGCCCCTCGTCTTCACACGCCGCTCTGAGTACACCGCACACGCTACCCCCCTCCCGCCTTTCCTTTGATGCTGGCGCACCCAGCCCGTAGGCTCGAGAGGATCCGCTCCTCGCGCACGCGCATCTCCGGCACCCTCCCTCCCTGCCTCGGTGCCTGCTACCCACATCTCCCCGCATCTCCCCACATCTCCCCACACATCTGCCCACACATCTGCCCGCATCTCCCCATATCTCCCCACATCTCCCCACATCTCATCTCCGGCACCCTCCTTCCCAGCCTCGGTGTGCCGACCTCCCGCCCGCCCTCCGCCCACCACGCTGCGAGCGGCGTCCCATTCACAGCCCGAGCTGTGAACAGGCAACTCGAGCAGGCTGGAGGAGCTCTCGGTCCACTCCGCCTCCCTCTCCGGCTCCCTTCCGGCATCACTCTCCCTCCTCGCGAGGCTGGAGACGTGCGAGCTCGCAACGCACACGCCAAACGAGGGGTGGGAGAAGGACAGGGTCCCCACCTGCACGAGCAGGATCTTGTAAGGACGATCAGGGACACAGGGGAACGGGAGCGGGGAGCGCATCGCGACACGGAGGGGGGCTGGGCAGGGTTCACCCTCACGACAGGGTCCCAGGGATTCCTCTCTCGTATAGGACAGGTTGCACCCGGCGGCACGGGGGCAAGCGCGGGCCTCCTACTGGTTGCGCTCTCCTAGTTCTCCTGCTCCTGACAAGGGACAGCGACAGGCTCGCAGCACGGTGGACTCCCTATCCACTGGCGATCTCTCTCGACTAGCGACCTTCCTCCGACTTCTCACCGGCAGTCTCTTCTACCACAGGCAGACTGACACGTGGGTGGCAGTCCCGCGCCCAGTGCGCAGTAGTTTCTTTTTCTTCGGTGTGGCTGGACTGACTGGCGCTGGCGTGTTCATCTGCGAAATGCTCTTCCTTCACGTCGTGGCATCATGTCAAGCCCTCCCCATCAAGCCGCAAAGAATTTTGCATCCGACAATTCCGCTGACAACTCCGGCAATCAGCACCCGTCGCGAGAAAGCGAGCGCCTCGCTGCGCAACCCGCATGGTGCGC